AAAAACAGAGTCCTAGCAGACTGAACGGGCAGGAGATTGGAAAGCCCAGAGCACACAGCCCTATTCTTGCAGCTTGACCGTCGGTGAGCCTGACCCGGCTTTAGTACCTGTGGGGAGGGGCTGAGCCTCAGGCCCCCAGGAACCGGCAGAGCATGTTAAATGTCATCCTGGCACCACCCACCCACCCCTTCCCCTTGACTTATCCTGGGGAGAGGAGTTGCGAAATAGTAGGAAAAGGCTGAAAACCACAGGTCAGTCAGAGACAAACTGGAAGAGGCTCTGAATGAATGGGCAGTTTCTGCACTGCCCATTCAGTCTCAGCAGGTTCTTTCAGGGAAGGTTGTTTAACCCTTTCACAGCTCAGAAATAAAAGGTCTCTAGTCTGCCAGAGAGCCCGCCTACCACTGTCCACCGCTATTGCTTGGTTCTTTGTGACAACATCCCAGTTTAGTTAATTAAGTTCCAACCAAATAATGACTTATTGCTTCAAAAGGACTTTAAAGAGGAGGGGGAGGAAACCCAGGGACTTGGCTGCCCTACGCCCTACTGAGGAAGACAATCTCTGCAGCTTTGCTGAGAATGGCCTGGTTGAGAGAAAAAAGCATGTAGGCAGCTGGATCTGTCTGAGAATCCTTGCTCTCCGCCCTACCTCCGACTCCAGCGCCGGCACTAGGGAGCTCACCTCTGGCCACAATCTGTTAGATATCACAAAAGAAAACAGCTGCTTTTCATCACTTGGTCCCATCACCGGCTATCAGTTCCCAACCCTCTTCTCTTCCTCTTCCACAACCAATCAGCTGAGCTGCAAAGGCCCTGGGCCAGGAGGAGTGAGAGAGAGAGGTCTTGTACTTTGGCTCTGGGCTATTCTAATTGGCTTCAAATTTCAGCTTCAATCTATTACCCCCATAATTGTTGTCTGCTCAGATCCCCTTAAAGAGGGATTAGAAGTCAAGAGTCAGAGAAGAATGGGGCTAGAAGAAGTCTGTTAACACTGGAACAATTGGCCCACATCAAAGTGTGTATGGGGTGGGGGTGGGGGTGCAGAAACCTAGACCCCCCAGGGCTCCCTCTTACTGAGGCCGGAGATCATTTTATCTTACCACCTCCACGAACAGATGAACTTACCATAATTGATTTTTAGCTCACTCCTGGGATGGGGCAGGAAGTGACCCAGCCAGAGAAAGGCTACCTGACAAGGGAAACCACTCTTCTGCAAATGGCCACCTGCCCCTGAAGGGCCTCTTCCCTCCTCCACCAGATCCAGCACATCTGTGCTCCCTCCCCAGTGCCCTTGCTTCCTCCACGACCGTCCTTGGGAAGAACAATCGTGATCACAGCTGAACGGTGGAGCTTCTTAAGCCCAGCCACATGTCCCGGATACGACCACAGCCTTGTCAGCTGTCCGGATCTGCAGGGTGGCCCCAGACCAGAGAGCCAAGAATATGCCGCCTCTTACATCACGCAACACCCCACACCTCCTGTGTAGGAAGGGGCCCCTTCCACGAGGGGCCCAGTAATAACGAATAGCAGTCCCAGCCCTGCACACTTGCTGGCTGCTCTGCTGACCCTGGCCCCGCGGGAGGAGTTCTTCCTCCCCATTCTGCAGATGGGAGGCGAAGGCGCGAGCTAAGCAGGTTTCCTGGCCACCATCTGCTCTGACCCAGCCCCCAGCTTGGTCTGGAAGGAGTGAAACAGTTTTCAGTATGTTGCTCTATCACCTTCTTTCTCTGGCTCTTTGGAAAAAGCAAAAATCTGTCCCAATGAGTCATTGCTTTCCCTTCTGTCAAGGAGATCCAGGTTGGCCAAGGGATGGAACCTTCTCCACTCCTGCCATTCTCCTTCCGTATCTGTATCCCAGATCCAGATTTTCAACCAGATCCAGGTTTGTGCAAGAATCCTTCCCCCAAGTTTTCCTCACAAGGGAACTTATACATCAGAAGGGACGCATGGCAGGCACTGTGGGTTCAGAACCAACCGAGTGCCGTGGATGCCATGACTGTCTGAGAACATGGAGTTTCTTCTCTGAAGAGAAGGAGGGGGCTCCTTGCTAAGCCTCCTTGGTACCAACACAAATGGATGGTTTGGGGGGGCCCAGAACTGGGGGCTGGGAGATATCACACCAAAGGGCTTTCAGCGGCAGGAACTGGAAGAGAAATCCCCATATAAGATGCCAAAGTATTAAGCCTTAGAGTAGCACCCCTCAAGGGCCACTTCCGGTGTGTGTGTGTGTGTGTGTGTGCTCGCGCGCGCGCGCCGCGCTAATGGGTTTTTTCTGCCCTTAATTTTTAAGTCACTGACTACCAAATTTTGCACTGAAAGGCTGCCTTTATTTGTTATTCAAATCAGTGAAAAACTCTGCACTGTGGGTTTTACCAGAATGGTGTGTGTGTGTGTGTGTGTGTGTGTGTGTGTGTGTTGCTGCTGGTGGTGAGTAAAGAGTATGACCTGGACAGAGGGTGCAATTCCAAAGAGCCTCATCTGTGTACCCACTCTGGAAGGATGAAAAAAATGATATGAGAGCTCCAAATTGGTCACCATCCCCACTCTCTGCCCTGCTTTAGCCAGGAATCATTTTATTCTGTGTGTCCTGCCTCCTCCCACCAAGCCCAACCAAAGCTTCGAGACCTTACCATTCCACAGGCTAATCTGGAAAAGGTGGTGGGAATGAGGAGAGCATTTACACTCCACAAAAAGGGGATGACACCTGAGCTCAGAATCTAAAAAGGAAGATAACCAAGAGATATCTTTAAAGTGTTCCTCTCCCTAGCTGACCAACACGTGTCCATCACGATTTCAGAAATCCACCTCCAAAAAGCCCCCTACCCGGTACTGGCCACGCAGCTTAGTGGGTCAGTGTGTGCACTGCTCACATTAGGATTCGCCTGGAGCCTGCTGGCAAGTGAGGACCCTCCCAAGGGCTGGGAAAGAGGAAATTCAATTTCACACAGGACATGTCTACAACTTCTTTTCCCACCATTCTGGGGAGAGGGAGAGAGAGAGAGAGAGAGAGAGAGAGAGAGAGAGATGCAGAGGGCGCCAACTACAGACCTCCCTTTCCTAGTCTGCCCCACACCCACACACAAAAGGGAAAAAAAGCTGAAAATTTCAGATGTTTATGCTCCATTCCTGTGAAGAGCCAGAGAACTCTAAACATTGTGAAATCACCAGTGCAATATTGGGTAGGGCCTCAGGCCAGATCAAGCTCATTAAGAGATTGATAAACCCAGACTTCCTAGAGGCTCTGGGCCTCCAGCTTACAACCTTGTATTTCCAAGAGGCTCATCAGAAAGACTGGAGAGCCTCGGTCAGCTAACCAGACAGACATGCACTTGCTCCCGCCCCTCCCCAAACTGGAGAGAATCAACGCCACAGATTTGGAAGCAGGAAAGAGGGGCTTCTCTACTGAGTCTGGCCACTCCATTGAACCCCACGCCTTTCCTTTCAGCACTAACCATGCTGGAGTGGGAGTGGGAGGGGGCTCCCACAGCCTCCATAGGCCATAAGACTGCCTCCTGCCCTCACCCAGGCCTGGCAATGTGGATGCCCATCCAGCAGCTCTCAGCTCTCCCCTGTCCCCACCCTCCAGCCCCTCCAGCCCAGTACCGCCCAGTACCTTCTCCTCCCATTGGTTGCAACCATTGCTTCCAAGCCATGCAACCATTTTCTGCCTCTCTTGCCTCCTCTACCCACAACCCCCAGCCCCCAATCAAAGAGAATTGAGAAACCGTCTTCTTGCACAAGAACAGCTACTGTCTAACTGCTTTTTGATCGTCTGCATATTGGGGGAACTGGGCACAGCCCTGGCCCCAGTGATGGAGCCAAGCTCCAGCTGCCCTGGCTGGCCAAACCCGCCCTCGCCCCCCTTCACTGACCCGTGGCCTTGGCGGCTCAGGTTTTTTCAGAACGTACCGTCTCTATCCTTCTCTCTTCTCAGTGATGTCAAGCTGGTACCACCAAGAAGGAAGGGGCAAAGCGGGAGCCTTATCTCTCCTACGCAAGCAACCTCTTCCTCCAGCTCCCACACGCCCGGCGTTATGTAAACGCACCTACAGCCCCAGAGCGGCCTAGGGGCCTCGGGGCCTGGCACAGTTCGGTGCCCGGGGATAGGGAGGCACGAGGAGGCCGAGGAGCCTCAGGCCCTGCAGAGGCCGGGAAAAAGACAGGCAACTAACTGCAAGGCAGTTGCACAGCATAAAATGCGGCAGCAGAGCAAAGGTCAGACGGCGAGGCACCGCCTCGCCAAAGAGAGGGAGCAGAAATGCCCAGTCCCGGGCCAGCCCGGCGCAGACCATCGAGGGGAGAGGCAGAAGGGGAGAAAAGCCAGTCCGTCATGACTCCGAAGGGGAAAGAAAAACCTACGTCGAGCATAGGCCGCTGCGGCGGGCTCTGGAGATCTACGGCAGAGCTGGCACCATGGGCACCGAGCCCGGGGTGGGCGAGCCGCCCAGGGCGAGGGCGCCCGCCGGACTCAAAAGGTGGCTCCTTACGTAGCCTAGAGTCTCCCGATCCAGCGCCCGAGGCGGGTGGTGGCAGGAGGGAAGAGGCCAGGCCAGAGACAAACTCCCGGGGCACGCACGGGGCTTCCCGAGTCAGAGTAGGGGGAAGCCGGGCTTGGTAATGTCCTGGGTTGGAAACGCCGGTGCCAGGCGGTGAATACCCTCCGCGCCGTGCCGGCCCAGCCCAGGGCGTCCGGGAGCTGCGGCGCACCGCAGCGACTCAAGGAGGCGCAGGGAGAGGGAAGGAACACTGAGGCGCGCCTAGAAATAGCGCACCATTTGCCCCAGCCCAAAGGGGAGTCGCGTCGCGGCTCAGAGTGGGTCAGTTTCGGATTCCGAAACCGGCCAGGGACTTACTTTGAGGAGCCGCAGAATCACAAGCATTGCTTCACGTCTGTGCAAATCCCCTAACCCGAGCGGGTCAGAAGCCACTGTCCTCGCAGACGCCGGCTGAAGGAACCGGCACGGCTTCCTGCGCTCGGCAGCGCCAGCTCCGCGCTGTCAGCTTCTCTCGCAGCCTCCGCGGCGATGTTGCAACCACTGCCTGGGAAAATGGCTTTTTTATGAATGGGAGGGAAGGGAGCTCCAGTGCGCACGCGCGTCGTTCGCGATTCTATGAATGGGTGGGCACAAGAGACCCCCGCGCGCGCATGCGCCGAGCTCCTTTTTTTTTCTTTTCTTTTTTTTTTATGAATGGGGGGCCGGAAAAGAACTTAACCCGTGATTGTTGGGGCTGGCTCTTGCTCCTCCAGGGGCCGTCGTTCTTTTACAAAGACGGGTAGAGGTTGTTGTTGCCCCCCGCCTTTTTTTTTTAAATGAATGGAGGGCGGCGGTGACTGCTGCAGCTGGCTCAGCTGCGCGGGCTGTGCCCCCTCCCAGCCTGCGAGAGGAGGTAAAGGCCACCTTCAAGCCAATGCGGGTCTGGGCTGGAACCGTCAGTATCCTAGGCGGAGAGCTGGGCGGGGGAGAACACACCTAAATTTAGGGATCTCTACCCGCCCCAGGCAGTCGTGAGGGCGGGGACCGGGAAGACCCCTGCTGGGGGCCCTTCTCTTTCTCTAGACCAGCGGCGTCGGAGGAGGGGTCTTGAAGCTGCTTTTACCAATAATTAAGAAAACGTCAAACGTCCATATCAAAGAGGGGTGGAGTGGCGGTTAATGAATGAATCTCGTTCCTTTCCTGAGGCTGAGTCTCCCTTGAGTGAGTGCAGACCACCCCTCCCCCATTTCTTGGGTGTGGACAGCGACAGGGCCGAGGCCTCTTCCGGCTCCAGTCCCCCCCCTCCCCCCCCCCAAGGGCGATGCTGGCTGCTGGGCGGAGGAGACCTGGCTCTCTCCTCGTAGCAACCCCTTCCCCCTCGCCCCAGTGTAACGTCCGCAGTGCCCCCGGCGTCCGTCGGTCCTCCTCTGGCTGCGCTGACTAGCTGCTCCCTGTACACCCCCGTGCGTTTCCCAGCCCTCACGCAATGCGGACCTGAGAGCCTCGGATTTCCGAAGGCCAAGGCTCTGCTGCTGTAGGCGCCTTTCCCCAACCACCCCCACCAGCTCCCCTCCGGAGAAGCAGGAGCGATGGGGAATTGGCCAGGTGGATGGGTGGAGCGACCGCGCAGAGGATGCTGCCGGGGTGGCCACGGGATTAAATAACAGGGCTCTTGAGCCGCAGAGGAAATGGAAGTGGCCGGGGATCTTTTCTTTGCAGTTAATGATGGGGGGTTGGGGGGGGAAAGGGGAGCGTATCAGTCCCCACCGGTGAAAAGAAAAGGCCCCGCCATTAGGCCTAACTGAGGGAAGGTGGAGAGCCCTCGCAGCAGGCCCAGCTCCGCCCAGGAACCGAGGAGGCTGTAGCCTCCGGGGAGTCAGGGGTAGGGGGCGGCTTTGATGCGAGGATCAGAGGTAGGCTGGGGCCTGAATCCCCCGTAAGATTTGTCCTGCTGATGTTCTGGCTTCACTGGAGGTTGGGAGGCTTTTTTTCTAACTACGCCACGATCGGACTGAGCTTGACTGTTGCCAGGGGAGCCAATGACAGGCACCCGGGTCTGGGCTGGGGCTGGAGCTGGGGCTCTGGGCACCGGCAACGGAGGAACATTTTGCAAACCCAAACCAGAACCCAGGGTCACCGAGTCACCCTTTAAAGCGTTTTCTCTTTACTCGGATGCAGCTTTACAGTGTGACTGACTCCGCTCCTGGGGGCAGAGCAGGCCCTCCTTAGGGGAACTTCAATCATCCTTTCGGGGTCAAGACCTTCCTTAAAGCCAAGAAAAAAAACCTCTATGAGGACAATCGAGTATTTTACAGCTGTGCAGGACTTCCCTTTGCAGGTATTAAAGTTCAATGTCATGATTCCCATTTGTCAGATACAGAATTTGAGGCCCAGGGGCCTGCGCTTGGTAAATGGAAGATCTAGTAAATTCTAGTGCTGATTTTCTAGATCTTTGCAACCCTGTTCTTTCTACTCTGCTACCATCTCTCTCAGCCTCACAAACCTAAAAACCTGTTTCTTGCAAGTCATTGAAGCATGTTAAGAAAGGAAGGTTGGAGCAGTAATTTTCCAGCTAGTGCTCACTCATGAGCCTCACTCAGACCTTTAAAAAGGTTGGGAATAAATAAATCCTTTCTAGACTATGGAAGAAAATCAGGATGTTGTGGGGTGGGGGAGTTTACTCTCCTGTTTCCTTTATTAGAGGAATTAGCCAAGAGACAGTGTTCCTTCCATTTCTGGTATTTTCCCAGCCCTTCTGAAGGAGGAGGTAAAGAGAGGCCAGGACTGCTCGGATGGTGAGAAGATGGGAGAGCCCCTAATCTTGAGCTGGGAGGAGCCTGTGATGCCTTTGATTTGTGCTTTAAGTCTCTCAGTGACTCGAGGGTACTGGAGACCATATTCTGCTCTTACTTGGGACCTAACCAGAGGAGAAGTTTGGGGCAACTGTTATGAGAAATTCATTCATTCATTCATTCATTCATTCATTCATTCATTCATATATTTTGTGTTGGACCCTGCCCTGACTCTGAGGACTCAGTGGCAAGAGACAGACAGCCCTCCCTGCTCTTGTGAAGCTCACAGTCTTTCGGAGAGGACAGATTTGAAGCCAGATGAGTGCTAGGAAGGAAAAATAAGTGGGGTCCTGGGATATGGGGAATGGGAGAGGGATGTGATTTTAATTTGGACATCAAGGACTATTTTTCTGAGAGCGTGTGATTGTGAGTTGAGCCCAGATGACTGAAGGAGTGAGCCTGAGGGTGTTTGAGGAGACATGTCAGACAGAGGGAGCCTGGGTGGAACCCCTGTGTGGGCACAAGCCTGACATGGAGGTGCTGACCCAAGACTTCCGTGGCAACAGCTTGAAGAGTAAGGTTGAAGCTGGCCCAGTGAGCAGTTCAGATATTACCCTCTTATGAGTTTTCAAGTAAGGTCATGACACTTTGATTTGTGTTTTAAGTCTCTCCAACAGCCCGAAGCCCAGTGGGTGGGGGAACAAAATGAAAAATAGTGGGGGATTCAAAACATTTTTTCCTTAACAGGTTAAAGACACCACATCCTTTCTGTTGGATTGGGCAGCTGGGAGGCCTGTGCTGGACTCTTTTGCTACTTGATCTGACTTTGTTCATTCCCGAGCTGCTCAGTGTCTTCCCCAAGTATAACTCTTCCTCTGGAGGCAAATCCTAACAACCTTGCATTCCT